CGCCGATGTAGTCTGAGAATTTCTCCCTCAAGCAGCACTTAGATTCAGCTTACGCTTAAATTATTTTACCGCTACAGCGCTAACAACAGAACCTGGGAGCTGCCTCATATCTTCTACAATCAACTAGTGGACGGTCATTCCGAGAATAAATACAGTAGATGTGATAATTCATGAACTGTTAACCTAAATTCTCAAACTCGTTTCAGACCCGAAAAGATTACTTAAATAGGGTTGTAAGATTATTTACCGTAGAGCATAATTGCAATATAATTCAGTTATCGTGGGACGACGGCCTTTGAATGAACTTCCATCCGGCAGTCTGCAAAAACTACATTCTGCAAAGAATGGCTACATATGTAGCATGAATTTGTGCCATTAATTTTCGGCGCCCGTAGGCATTCAAATATATTTCATACAAATGGTTAATCGAAATATACATTCATTTGAAAGAAAATTACGCCTTATTCAAATTCTGTACTAGAAGGAAGGGTATAACTAGGTTTCAAAAGACATATCCAACTCCCGAATAATTTGGAAGCCGACTTGCCGTTACTTTTACATCGGGAAATTCCAAAATGCAAGCTGTATATGTTCCATCTATAAAAATCATGCATTTGTATATGCCTTGAAGGGCAAACCATATGGAATTTATAAAATTTATTAGTGCATTTGAGCCACAATTTAGACTTTCCAAGCAACATCAGTAAATGTGGAGACACCATGTTTCATGAACGGGTATTTCATTGTCTTAAAAAGTCTCATAAATTGAAACTATTTAAAACCGAAGTATAACCTTCACTCTGGTACAAAATTTGAAGAACACCTTATTTACTGAGTAAGAGACGTGGTGTGCAGTCCGAGGTGATAACAGGAAAATGTAGAAGGCCCTTCGGAAAATCTAGATGCACTTGTGAATTTTCAAGTTGGTAACACCAACACGTCGTCAGACGAAACAAATAGAATAGAAAGTGAAATCGATAGAACAGGTCGGTTGGCGTGACAGGACGATTGTTCCGACCGTCGAGTTTGACGATGTCCACCGTGTGATCCACTGTAAGGTGAGAGCAGGGACGGTGACGTGCGCGTGAATTAGTTTATAGTGATAGTAGATTGCATGGAATCTACTGAACTCTCTCTCCTCCCCATTCTCCACTTGGACCCGGTGACAAGACAGAGTCCAAAAAAATCGGAGGTTGGAGGAAGGCGCAGGAGCTGCACCAAGGCCTGCCACCACACCCCCTGGTCCACAGAGCAAATGATCAGGATTTTTAGCCAACAACAACACCCCAACAGGAGCCAGAGTTACGAGGATGACTGAACAGCCATGCTTCTACCGGCAGGCAACCAGATGTTAGAGAACTGCCAGCGCATATCAGGCTGCGAGGACCATGGTTTGCTGATACTGGCCTAGCACACGCTTACAGACCTTTTGAGCCATAACGGCCACACGTGGTCCTGCATATAGCCTGAGCCGTCACCCTTCAAGGTTAGACAGCCAAACAGTCTTCGACTAAGAGGCACTACCCATAGAGTATACTCTCTCTCCACACATACATGATAGTGTCTCAGATCGCTCGAGAGTGAATCGCTTCAGCTTGTCTCTCAACCCACCGGTCCGTCACTCTACACAAACACATGCACAACCGACCGAGCGCATTGCTGCGGAGCTAGGGGTTGGAATCGCACACCGCCCCAAAGCCACCATGCGCAACAGGGTCATGAAGATCAAAGACCGGTTAAAACCCGAAGAGCAATCTGGAGTAGTGTATCGCATTCCGTGTCAAAATTGTCCTTGTAATTACACAGGACAGACTGGACGCATGCTCGGATCGCGCATACATGAACATAAGCTGGCTGTGAGGCGAGGCGACGCATTGTCACAAGTGGCCGCCCACACCTACGAAATGGGTCACGAGTTTGACTTCGCAGCCACCAAAATAGTTGCCCACGCCGGAAACAAAACAGGCCGAGAATTGATTGAAGCCTGGGCCTCGGATGAGAACTCGGTCAATCGATTTATCGATCTGGCGCCGGCGTACAGAGCCCTTCGTAGTCACCTCCAGTCGTGCGACGTCGGTCGATGATTGGGTCTACGTGCCTTATAACTGCCGCTTGTCCTGTTTCTGCCACTACCTCTGACGATGGACTCCTGTACGAGTCTGAAAGCTCAGGATAATAAACGAATTGTTCCGGTGCTCGATTCTTCTTCTTCTTCAAACATGCACAACTGGACGGACTGCGAGGACTGAGTTGGGGCGTCAGTCGGCTCCCTTCCGAGCCACGGAGCTAAGCGCACCGGGGGACTCTCAGACTCCGATCGCACATGCAGCTGGGGGGCCGCATAGAGAAGGAACCCACACGAATGCTTCCCACTTGCGTATGAGATGGCGGTTGGGTATTTGAGGTTGGCGATAATAATTCACGGTGAGAAGTTAGTGTGGGAAGGTGTGATAGTGTGATGCAGCCGGCGGTGGTCTACCGTAGGTTTTCGTGAACACGCATGTGGCCTAATAGGTCCATGCGGTGAATGATTGTGAAAATGCAATGTGGACAGTGGAAGCGCATGCGGCGAGTGTAGGTTAGTGCTCCAGGCACGGAGTCTTCAGTCTCTGGGCAATGGATTCGCAAGCGACCGACCAGGCCCATGCATGAGGCGAATGTGCTGGGACAGTGTGGGTATGAGAAGTCGGCGGTGTCAATATCAGCTTCGGTGGTGGTGCTGGTGGTGGCTGCTGGTTGTGGTGTTGGGCGCGATGGGCGACAGAGTGTGGGTTAAAGTTGGTTTGCAATATGTGGTGAGTGTGATGGAGCTGTTTGAGGTGGGCGCGCTAGTCTGCGCAGCGTGGGCGGAACAAGGCATGGTGGGTGTGCTGAGTGTGTCAGGGCTGCGGTTGATCCCGCTCTCGTAGACCCGCATGTGGCCGAATAGGCCCATGCGGTGCATGAATATGCAAGGGCAGTATGGACAGTGGTGGCGAATGCGGCGGGTGCAGTTTTGTGCTACAGGCACTGGGTCGCCAGTCTCTGTGCGATGAATTCGCAAGTTACCGACCCGGCCGATGTGTGAGGTGAAGGTGCGGTCGCAATGAGGACAGGTATAGACCTGATCCTCACCACTGGTGTCGACGGTGGCGTCAGGATTGTGTGTCATGTTGATGTGTGTGGCGGACGCCACAGCGGCTGACGTTAAGGCAGTAGGAGAGGAGGAAGAGGGTGGAATTGGTGGTGCAGAAGGGCGGTCAGAGTTGGTTGACGGCGTACAAAGCGAGGACGACGTGTGCGGATAGACGACGGTTGGTGCAGTCCAGGTGCTGCAGTTGGTCCGAAGGTGTCTAACAAGTCCAATTGGCGCCCAGAATGTCAATTGGCACCGTGGACACGTTAGGGCGGTTGAGCGTTGGAGTTGCGAGGTGGGTGCAGCTGATACTTGCGTGCTTCTCGTTTGGCTTTCGCGGTCGCGATGCGCTTTGCCTCGTAGATCGCTCCGCATATCTTCACTGTCCTCCTCCAGGTCGGTAGGCCTCGAGCGAGGTCTTCGCAGTTGGCCGGACTAATCTGCAGACGCTTTAGAAAAGTCTTCAAAATGTCCTTATATCGACGGATTTGGCCTCCTTGGCAGCGGGAACCCGTGGCGACATCTCCATAGAAGGGTCGTTTCGATAGCCGCTCGATGTCTATTCGCACAAGATGGCCGCTCCAACGCAGTTGCAGTTGTCTCAGCATGGCGAAGATGCTGAGGATTCCCTTCCACTCAAGTACGTCAGTTGCGGGTGCTCGATCAGGAGGATGAAGGAGCTGGTGGTTCCCTTTCCGTTTGTATAGATGCAAGATTGTGGCTTATTTCAAATTCTGTAGGACTTCCCTTTGACGCCACGTCTCCTGAAAGAGTGCCGTCAGATGATCCATGAGTTGGGGGCCACCGTGCTTGTAGGTCACAGCAGGGATCGTGTCCGATCCGGGCGCTTTAACGCTGGAGAACTGCTGCACGGCCCTGATGGTTTCATGGGGAGAGGGCGGGAGGTCGAGGTCGACTTTGCTCTCCACTTGCGGCAGACAGGCGGTGGCGATGTCGGAGATAGCGGAGGGACGGTTGAGGACGCCTCAGAAGTGTTCGGCCCACCGCTGTAGACTTGGCGTCTTCTCAGTGGGTAGGGTACTGCCGGCGGCCCTGAGAAGAGGTGCAGTACCTATGATCGGCGGACGGTAGGCAACTTTGATCGCGGAGAAGAAATTCTTCCATTTGTTGCGGACCGCGTAGCTTTGGATCCCCTCGGCCTTGCCTCCTACATTTCGCACAACCGCTGTTGCATAAGACGGCGACTACGGTAGAAAGCAGCTTTCTGGAAGGTTGTCTAGCTGTTGAGATAGTTCGTTGCTGAAATAGAGATGGTGAGCAGGCAAACAAAACAGGGCAATATCCAACTGCCCATGCGTCCTGTTGTACAATATGGCGACTAGGGTAGAAAGCAGCTCTGTTTTCACCTGTGGAGCTATCGACGCGAGCTTTGTGCAGGCGGTTTCTCTGTTTACACTCACACACACACACACGACATTTCGTCTGTTTCGACGATGTCCACCGTTTGCTCCACACGAAGTCAGCGCGCGTGAGTCAGATTAAAGTGGTAGTAGACTTGCGCAGAATCTACCGTACTCTCTCTTCCCTATTCCCCACCCAGACCCGGTGTTAAGTCAGAGTCAACAAGACCGAAGGTGGGGGGCGGGCGCCGATGTCCAGCGATGAGTTCATCTGACGGTCGTAATAGACCTCTCGCTTGCTTGCGGATGCATACTACGCCCAGAGTCCCTTTGCTGGTGCCTAACTCTTATATGTGGCGATGTCCTAGGCTCTCCCAGGCGTACTCGAGTTGTTCTTCCACTACACCAAAGCCATGGTCCATTATGGAGTTCGGCAGCGTCTGAAACAACCGAGCAGGCCTAATTAGGGATGGCATTGCTTACCCTTGCGAGGGGGAAGGGGCTAGAAAAGGTGCCCTAAACAAATGCTGGAAAACCACGCTGTCTGCAGGCTGACCGAGGTCGCAGACGTTAAACTCACGGTTGAAACAACCAAAGAAGAAACAACACACTCTATCTCTTCCTCCCACTTCCCGCCGGCCCACTTGCCAGACTGGTACGGTTAGTCCGTTCACTCTGACAGTCTGGAATATTCGTTCTCACTCAGACAATTCGAGGAGCAACCGACCAGAAAGGAGGACGGCGCTAGTGGCTTGGGAGCTGCCGCGCCACAAGTTGGACAACGCTCCAATCAGCGAGACGCCGTCCTCCGAGAAAGGCCAGCTAGAAGATGTGAGTGCCAGCTACACCTCCTTCTGGAGCGTCCGCCCCATGGCAGAGCGACTAGACGTGGGTATCGCCTTTGTCACCCGGAACGACCTCGTGGGACGACTGCCCTGTCTGCCGCAGGGCATCAACGATCACCTCACGAGCCTCCGCCTGCCTCGTCGGGAAGGCGAATTCGCCACCATCATTAGCGTATACGCTCTGTCGATGACCAGCCCTGACGCCGCAAGGGACAAATTCTACGAGGACCTGCGCGCCCTCCTGGCGACTGTGTCGACAGCAGATACGTTGATTGTCCTTGGTGACTTCAACACCCGCGTCAGCACAGAGTATGCTTCTTGGAAAGGAATGCTGGGTCCCCATGGTCTCCTCGGCACAAACAACAATGACCTGCTCCTCCTGCGCAGAACACTGGCTCATCCCAACCAACGCCTACTTCCGCCTCCCGATGCAAGAGAAGGCCACCTGGATGCATCCTCGGTCGCGACACTGGCACCTGCTGGACTATGTCCTCGTCCGCAGGCGAGACCATTGAGACGTGCTGGTGACAAATACGATCCCGGATGACAGCGGGTTGACCGACAATTGCTTTGTCATCTTTGAGATAGGCATACGCATACAAACACGAAGGAGATCTCAAGGTAAGCAGCCCCCCCCCCAGGTAAGTTGAATATTGCCTTGTTGTCGTTCCCTGCTCACCATCTCCATTCCAGCAACGGGCTAGCTCAACGGCTAGACAACATTCCAGTCGTTGATGCCGCCGCTGCCAATGACGACGCCTCCGGGGGAACCGATGGTGCCAACTGCGGGACACAGCGCAGTCGACGGCGCTGGTCGTCCTCAGTCGTGCGCGCCGTCATCACCCGGACTGGTTCGACGACAAGGACGCCGCCATCAGCAACCTACCTGCCGACTGCTCAAAGCCTGCGTCGAACATCCCGCCGACGAAATCAGAGCTGATTTCCACCGTAGTCGTCGTCTCGTACAATAGTGGCTGTGCGAGAAGCAGGAGACCCGGACTGCTCGAAGACTGAGTAGATTCAAGGATACACGGACAAAAACGAATGGAAAAAATTCTTCTCCGCGATAAAAGTTGTCTACGGTCCGCCAACCAGAGGTACTACACCGCTCCTAAGCGCCACCGGCAGTACCCTACTCGCCGAGAAGACACAAATACCACAGCGATGGACCGAGAGCTTCCGAGGCGTCCTTAACCGTCCCTCCACCATCTCCGACGCTGCCATCGCCCGCCTGCCGCAAGTGGAGACCAACGCCGACCTCGACCTTTCGCCCTCTCACCAAGAAAAAATCAGGGCCGTGCAACAGCTAGCCAGCGGGAAAGCGCCCGGCTCGGACGCGATCCCTGCTGAGATTTACCAGCACGACGGCCCCTAAATCATGGATCATCTGACGGCATTATTCCTGGGGGTGAGGCGTCACTCGGGATAACTTACTAAATTTGACCCTTAAATTCAATCTATGCTTACTGACATAAACTGACCTAAGAAAGACAACTTGCGCATATCGCCACCCAATCGCATTAAGTTGTCATATGTAAGATGTAAGCCTGGTCTCTTATAACAGACGGCCGGCTTGTGTGCAATTACAGGCCTCATCATTTTTTATGCTTCTATATGACTCAAAAGTGCCTATGAAGATAGATGCATTCCCGACTAAAATAAAATAGCTTTAGCTCATTCAATGGTGACAGAATCCGCAATCATCCTAGGAAGATGCATTTCCTTATTTATATAAAAAATCAGCCTCAATATGCGTAGGACACCTGTAGCTGCGGTAAGCAGTCACTCGCTTTTAAGCAAGGAAATTAACCCCACATAAACTTAAATATTTTAATCAGTAATGACATTTAAACTTCGGGACTGCAAGAGAGACAATAAGGTTATAGTCGTCAGAAGCGCGAAAGACTTCGAAGTAACCTAAAGGACTACTTAAAGGAATTAGGTTAAAGTGTTGCCTGAATACTTGAATGTAAGTGATGGCTGTAAAATTGCAGAAAGTATAGCCGAAGTGTAGAATGGATGAACTTATCTTGCTGAAACACTCCTATGTGCAATATGCTTGTCATTGAACAGTTCTGAACATTGAATGCACTAAAAATATCCCTGTTTAGTTAGGAGTGGAGAAGGCGTTCAGGAGTGTCAAAGCACATGCCTGCAGTATCATATCCTCCCCTAGACTTTGCTTTATTTTGAACAGACTGATTGCTTCACGACTTTTGTCAATTTGACAAAAAGTCCGTCATTGTTTACAAAGATCTGGTTTCACTCGTCGTATATAGGTTGCCTCCAGGTAACGCAATGTCCGAGTTGTTCGTGCCCGAACAAGTACTCGGAAGGAAGTTTTGGGGTCGACGGTGTGACCAGTATCAAGTAGGTTTTCCACTTTTAACATGGCATGCCTGATTTCATTTTAGAAGAAGATCTAGGTCAGAACCAGCTTTAACACACAAAGGATACAGTGCAACAATGCCTTACCGCCATAAACAGGAAATTTCAGTCGGTAGACACAACCTTGCATGGGTTTCCTTTCCGTCCAGACCTTAGAAGTTCTGACTTGAAAGTTACTGCCGCAGGATTTTGAACCCACAGAAAGTCATGAGAAATTGCCCAAACCTAGTTGTAACGGCCATTTTGTTTTTAAGAAATGTGTGTTAAACTGCCTATTAAGTATTTAGCATATACACTTTTATCTAACTAAGGCCTTCTAAACCCCAGATGTTAATATTTTCTGCTCTGTGGGTTGTTCTCGTAGATTAAACAAAGTGGACGCCTTTCAGTAGCGAGAAACGTTGAAATATCTACCTACATATACGAAAATATACCTTTCGAAGCGAACTCCTATTTCCTATGGACGCATAGCAGATTAACTATTTTCTCCGGAAGAAAATCTAGCGAAAGTAAGTTTGAGAATATTTTCATCGAGTCTGTCCATATATCGGCAATCGAGTTAGAGCTGAGGCTACTGCTTATGCTTGAATATGCTGGTGAATGGATTCCTACGGCATGCTGATATACAACTGTACAGAGCTACCGAGTGGACTGCAGGTTTGTTGCAAGAGGTCGCAGTGCACCCAAATGTTTACTGAAGATGTATGTTTGCGCGTTTCTTAGTACCACGGAACAAATTTCCAAAAGTTTCGTAAAACTGCCGGCAGTAGCAGGCGGACGCCAAAAGTAGGCAGTTTGCCATACCAACGATTTTTTTTTCCCAATGTCGTTTTAGCAATATTATACTAGATCTGAAGTTCAAAGTTGTAACAAACGCAGATAGAACAAATGATAATCGATGTAACTCTTGAAATCTCCGCTAATGCAAAGTTAAATAAACATCGCAGAAATTTGAACCCATTTCGTCTGTGAGATGTTGTTAGCTAGTTATCGAGAAATTCTGTGATTTGCGGCAATCTAATTTGGATAGTCGTAGGATGCGTCAAAACGATGAAAAATCCTAGAATTTGCAGTAAACTTCCCGACAAGTCAGCAATCGGCCAAAACACAGAAGAAATCGGATGCAGCGCTGAGTTGCTTACGCGAAATGGTGCCTGGATAAAAACGAAGACCGGAGAACCTGCATTGAAACGAAAAGGTAAATTTGGTTGATAGCATCCATGTCATAATTTAATAAGCAACACCTATGTGTATGACGCAGTTTTATAAACACGGCTGTTTTAGACATGTATTTGGTGAACGGTAATTTAGTAACTAATATCTTAAGGGAAATGAGATAGCGCCAGAGGATTGGGGGTTTGCGGCTGTTATCGTGAAATAAACCTGAGCAAGCAATTGATATATCCAGAACCAAATAACTCAATTGTGAGCAGCAAGCATGCATCTTCTAGATCTGATGAAACATCTTGCAAGTGCCTTCAGGTCTACAGTTCACCCTCAGTATTACCTTATTTAAACACTGAATACGAGGAAGATGTGAAGCCGATGGACAATGTTGTAAATGCTCACAGAACTAAGGGGCAGTGCACACATTCAGCAATCTAATGCGGATAGTCGCTGGATGCGACAAACCGATGAATACAGTGCGTGACCGATCTCATGAAATGTTGGTCGAAATTCTGAAATGCGTTTTCGATTAGGAAGGATTACTTAGGTGGCGTTGTAATAATGACTAGCGTGCAGCATAATCCTATAGCATTTCGGACTCGCCAGGATGTCGGCTTTTAAATGCACATCTTTTTGATCTCCTGCAGAAACCGCGCTCTGCAAAAAATGACTATTTAATTAGCATGCACTTTTCGTATTGATTTTCGATGGTGTTACAAATTCAAATACATTTTATAGAAAACGTGCACAAGAATATGCCCTCTTTTACTCATTTGGTAGAACATCACACTGTCGTTACATTTTATGCCTGAAGGAGGAGTATTTTTAGGTTTTAAAAAAGTTTTCCAATTCCCGAATACTTTTGAGCCAGATCTGCCATTGCATTAGCATTCAGCGATTTCAGTTCACACGGTGCATGCCTTCTGCGTGAAGAAAATAATGTATTCCTCTATGTCTTTAAAAAGATACCATGCAGATTTCTTACAATTTTGCAATGGATCCGGATTGTGTTGTATATTTCGTCAGAAGACTTGGTAAACGGATATGTGCGATGTTGTATATACGGACATCGCACAGTCTTAAAAATCTTATAATTATAAACTTTTTAAAACCCAAATATACTCCTTCTTCAGGCATAGAATGCAAAGAAAAGGTGATTTCCTACAAAATTAATAAAAGAGGGCATATTCTTGTGCACGTTTACTATAAAATGTATTTGAATTTATAACACCATCGAAAATCAATACGAAAAGTGCATGCTAAATAAGTAGTCATTTTTTATAAAGCGCGATTTCTGCAGGAGGTCAAAAAGGAGTGCATCCAAAAGCCGACATCTTGCTGAGTCCCAAATGCTATAGGATTATGCTGCATGCTAATCAATCTTACAACACCACCTTAGTAATCCTTCCCAATCGAAAACAAATTTTAGAATTTCGACCAACATTTCATGAGATTGGTCACGCACTGTAATCCTTGAATTTGCAGTAAACACCCCGACAAGTCAGCAACCGGCCACAACACAAAATAAATCTCATGCAGCACTGGGTGGCTTACGCAACATCACATCTGGATAAAAACGAAGACCGAAGAATCTGCACTTAAACGAAAAACTAAATTCGGTGCATAGAATCCATGTCACAATTTAATAAGCAACGCCTTTGTGTATGGCGCAGTTTTACAAACCCAGCTGTTTTAAACAGTTATTTGGTAATTTTTTACCTTAGTTACTATATATTGTGCAAAATATGATACGGCTAGATGATTGAAGGTTGTTGAAATTTCCCAATGATATTAATATAGTTCGTGAAAGGGTTGTCCGTAGAAAAGCGGACTTATGACTATAAAGCTTGAATACAAATAAGTAGTATTCAAATATTGATTTGTTTATTTTTGACACCTCCTAACAGTAAATCTTACCCGCCCTGCATTATTTGGTGTCCCGTATGCCCGTTTCTTCCGATCCCGCTCGTTTTGATATACAAGGACTTTGAG